GCTTTCTTCAGCAAGGCCCTGGCAATCGCGATGCGTTGCTTCTGACCTCCGGACAGCTGGCCTCCCCCGCTACCAACAAAAGTGTTGTATTTCTCAGGCAGGTTGTCGACAAAGCCCAGCTGAGCGTCATTGCAGGCCTTCACGAAGTCCTCCTTGCTGGCGGAAGGGTTGCCTTGCATGATGTTGTGTCGGATGGAGCTGGCAAAGAGAACAGGCTCCTGGCCCACATAGCCGATGCAGCGGCGTAAGGCCGAGATCTTGAAGCTTGTCATGTTCTGGCCGTTCACCAGTACAGCCCCGGAGTCCGGGTCGTAGAAACGCTCCAACAAAGCCATCACCGTGGACTTCCCCGAGCCGGACTCACCGACCACTGCGACCTTCTGCCCGCGCTGGATGCTAAGGGAAAGGCCGTTCAGGACCTTCACATCGGGGCGTGCTGGATAGGTGAAGTGCACATTCTCGAAATCGAACTTCTCGATGTTGCTGATGTCCTGGCGCTTGTCCTCCACACGGCATTGGATGTCGGGCTTGTTCTCCAGGGCGCGGAAGAAGCGACCGGCTGCCGTCTGCGCTGCCTTCATGGCCTTGAGGCTTGGATCCAAGTTGCCAATCATGAAGCTTCCAATGAAAATGCAGAAGAAGATGGCCATGATCGTGCCGGGCTCCCAAAGCTTTCCGGTGGCTGGGTTCAACTCTTCGTTGTACCGGAGGGTCATGCCGAACCAGAAGGCCAAGCCGTATCCCAAGAAGATGATCATCATGGTGTAACCCATGCCCGCGCCGACCTTGAAGCCATTCTTCACCCCGCCACGGCGCGTCTCCACCAGGGCAGCAGAGAACTTCTTCAGTTCGCGGTGCTCGCCGCCGAAGGCCACGACGGTGCGCATGGCATTCCTTACATACTTCAAAAAATAGGCCAGGGACATCAAAGGGTTAAACCCTTTCAGACTACTACGACGCTGTGTTATAAGAACCCAAGAAATGGAAAGGTTGGGTATATTGGGGATCTAAGATTCAGGCACTCCTCCACCACGGCCGAAGCCTTGGCGTACCAGCTCTGGGACTCGTTCTGGATCTCCTGGACGGCTTTTCCCATGAAGGCGGCGCCGACGCCCATGAAGGGCAGAATGGAGCACATCACCAATGCGATGAGCCAGCCCATTCCGAAGGCACAGCCGAAGCCGCCAAGGAAGGCGGAAATGGCCATCATCCCGTTTCCGAATTTGTCTCCGAAAGCATCCTGGATCTTCTCCAAGTCGTCGTTGATCTCGGCAGGCAGGGCCGCGACCTCCTTGGTGTCGAACCAACTTACGTCCTGGTGCAGCACCGTGTCGAAGTAGAGCACTCGGTACTTGAAGGCCTGCTTCTCGGCGAAGATCTTGAAGCAGGCTCCCTGCAAGAAGGCTGCAAATGTCGCGCCGACGCCCACGAGCATCATGGTGATGCACAGCTCCTCCATCTGGCTCATCATGCCATCCATAGCACCCAACATCTGCTCGGGCGTGAAGGACTCTGCACCTCCCGTCGCCTCGCCCATGCCATCGATCAGGTCCCCGAAGACGATGCACAGCAAAGGCTGGGACAGGCCGTTCCCAATGGCCCCCAAGCATCCGACGAGCAGCACGACGACTTCGACGAAGTCCATCATAGAGAAAAGCTTGCAGAGAGAGGCAGCTGGGATCTTGTTCTTGGTCTGCACCTCCTCCGTCTCGACTTTGGCTTCGACTTGCACCATCTCATCGTCGGCGTCATCTGCCTGATTGCTCGCCATCCTCCGCGAGCCCTCAAGAAGGAAAACCGG